TATGCACCAGTCATGCTTTTCCCTTTTCTCTGCCACACTACCACACTCTGCCATTAACAAATGGCAAATGGTAGAGATGCCCATATCGGAGGATGATTGACAGCACTAAGACTCTCCTCTTGGCTCTGATTGGATTTTTCTGACTGGGAGCGTTGCATTTCTTCAGATAGCTATCGTAGCACTCCAAGGAGGTGGAGGAGCTCCATTTTTTTTTTTACTGATTATCTGTCACATAACATACTGTCACAACACAGTGGCTATTTTAATAAACATGTAAAACAACATTTTAAAACAATAAAAGTTACATGCAGCAGCTTTAAGAGTGGAGACATAACTTACTCACTGGTGTCTCTTCTTGATATCCTCCCTTGTGTATTTTTCTACTGAGGAGCAAACAGCCACACACACACACACACACACACACACACACACACACACACACACACACACACACGCACGTACGCACACATACACACACACACACACACACACACACACACACACCCACACACACACACGCACACACACGCACACACGCACACACACACACACACACACACACACACACAAGGGCAATCTATTCTAGACAGACCTGTTAACTTAAAGGTCATGTTTTTGATCTGTGGGAGGAAGCTAGAGTACCCGGGAAGAACCCATGCAGTTACAAGGAGAACATCCAAACTCCAGACTGGAATTTTAACCCAAGACTTTCTAGCTGCAAGGCGACAATGCTCCATGCAGTAAACTTTACTTTTTATGCCATGTGAATTCTGACATTCAGGTAGCCACCATTGCTTCTGATGTTCTGAATCTCTTGGCTCCGTGGCTAGACACTTGACATCACAGCTGTCACTAACTCCTGTTTCATTCCTTTACTTTAGTGGCGAACATGCGAGCAATATATGTTTTAAAAAAATAGGATTCCATTATAAAGAAACAACTGACAACCACGCTCAGTGAAGGAGCTTGTACTATGCTAAAAAAAAGTCTGCTCTGTTTCACTGCCCACTGAAATACCAGATGATGACACCTATCATTCAAAAAGCATTGAGTCTTGTGGGATGGAAGGAAAAAGCCCAGCAAGGTGGCATGTCAGTACTCACACCCAGCTGTCAGGTTTGGTTTTCTCAGATCATCCAAACTCTGCTGCTCTGATATCAGCAAAGACGAGGCTGTGTTGGCCTGATTCACGTCAGCTCCAGCACAAAAACAAAGCCTCCCATGTCACAAGCAGAAACGGCACATTTAAGATTATTTATTGGCAGTGAGTTGAGGCCACAATGATGATCGTGCTCACTCGTGCAACTGAGAGTAATCACCATGTGTTGCTGGCTCCCTGCTCCCGCTATCATGGGCCGTTTTATGCGCCGACAGAGGATTTGGCCATGCATAGAAGGCAGTGCTGCTGCTGCTGCTGCTGCATGCGTCTTATGATGCCTGCCAGCTTTTTCTACCGTGTACGTTTCATTACTTGCTGTTTAATTTATCCCCTTCTACTCAGACTGCCCTGCAGTTTCTAAAAACATTTAGCACATGCCAAGAAAATATATGCCTACTTGTTTAGCCATAACAGAGACTCGCCAAAGGGAAATTAAATTTCTCTTGGCTGTAAAATGAAACGGCTAAAATACATTCCAGAGAATTATTTTTTTTTTTTGCTGTGGAGTCAAACATTTGGTCAAACAAGCATCAGATTCCTGCAAGCGGCAATGAGTTTATGTCAATCGATACGTCTGCCAATCCACATGCAATTTGCCAGCAGCTGTTTGAGCTCAGAATCAGAACAGATTCAAGTTAGGCATGCACATCTTTAGAGCTCTGAAGGGAGAGGAGCGACAGCGAACCAAAAGCATGGTCTTGAGCAACTGTCTGGACTTTACCCAACCCTTGTCAATATTCAGTAATGATGCTTTATAGCCGGCATTGTACAATGCTTTAAAGCGTCATTTATTTTTTAATATCCTTAAATATTGGACCCACACTCAGGATAACAAGTAAAAATAGTTTGTTTAATGAACTGGAAAGTTTATTCAAAGTAGACTCTGAAGTCTTGGAATAACTCAGGCAAACTTACATGCTTGATTAAATTCCTGGTGCTGGATTATGACCTCCTTACATGTAATTAACCATAATGAAGGGAACATTTTTTTTTTAAGATGCAGTTTCTTAAAGTCACCCATTCTCTTGTGTTACGCCTTTGTTCTAAAAATTACTATGCATTCCACAGACATGTTTTTTACTCACTTTCCATAAGACAACGACTTCTAGATGCAAGCAAAAGAAACAGAGACCAACCAGCATCTCTTTTAGGACTTCACCAGTGGCTGATCATCACAAAGTAAAGCAACAGTCCATATTAAAACACTCAGTATTCAGACATTGCCAGGTTCTGTTCATTTTCCTATTGCCAATACTCTGAACAAGCACCTTTTGCTAATGGACTTGAAGAGAAATAGGCCTAATGTATCACTGATGCTCTACCACACTTAGCAACAGGATTAATTTATCCAGAGACATTCTTCTCCATTTCCACCTCTAGTCCATACAACTGTATGTGAGATTATTCCTAACCAATTAATTTAGGTAGAAATTGACAATTGGACAATAAATCATTGTCAGTACATATCGTAACAATCACAGGATCAGCATCGATAGGTAATACATCTGACGGAATATTCAATATCGTCACCCTCCTAAAATAATGGCCCAAGTCATTTTTCAAAAGCAAAAAAAATCACCACCTTTTTCTTTCATCCATCTTCTTTACCACCTTATCCCATTGGGGGCAGGAGGGTTGCCTAACTCCATCACACATTACACCCTGGACAGGTTGCCAGTCCATTTCAGGGCAACACAGAGACAGGACAAACAACCATGCACACACACAAACACACACCCCCACACACCGAACCACACACACACACACACACACACACACACACACACACACACACACCCCACACACACCCACACACATACACACACACATACACACACACCCACACACACACACATACACACACACCCACACACACACACACACACACACACGCACGCACACACACACACACACACACACACACACACACACACACACACACACACACACACACAAACACTCACACCTAAGGAGAAGTTAGACAGACCAATTAACCTAACAGTCATGTTTTTGGACTGTGGGAGGAAGCCTGAGTACCCAGAAAGAACCCAGCATGAACAGGGAGAACATGCTGAAAACCCCAGGCCGGGAATCGAACCCAGGACCTTCTTGCTTCAAGGCCACAGTGCTACCAGCCATTATACCACCACTGTTTTAGGAAGGTGATGATATTCAATATATAGAATATTCTCAGATCCAGAATCACACAGCATTCTGGGAGATGCAGGCAGAGGACAGGCTGTAGCCCCTCATGGGCAGCTCACCAAGATGGGTGGCATCAAATAACTAACTAACTAACTAACTAACTAACTAACTAACTAACTAACTAACTAACTAACTAACTAACTAACTAACTAACTAACTAACTAACTAACTAACTAACTAACTCATTCATTGGTTACCTAGCAACAACTTCCTGAGTAATGGAGTGTTTAAGGTTGCCACTGTGCCTCATAACTTCTTAACGTAAGAAAAATAGCTTGGAGTGAAAACGGTAGATTAAACAGTTTGGCAGTATTTCAAATATTTCAAATAAAACAATAATCAATAATTATGAAACACTTATATCGTTTTAAGATTTTCAGCCATATCATCCAGTATTCTCTGACTCTCTTACATAAATCAGGACATATATAGGCCTACTGAATGCGTTTCTTCCCTTAGTCATTATGGGTATAGAAAAAAGGGAATGAGTCTCTAAGTCACAGCATGTTCAAGTCTTGAATTCGGTACTGATCAGAACTTATTAAAAACTTGATCATCTACAAATAATGTTTTGTTTTTTTTTTAAAAAAAGCTGCAGGTTCATTTCTTTAACAAATGTATTTATTTCTTAACACGGGGCTTTTAAGAACGACTAAATGTGCTAGGCTGCATGTTTCTCATTGCCAGCGGTGAGGAGCGCGGCTGCCAGTCAGAGTGAGCAGTCCTGAGTACGACAGGAGCCTCTTGGGTTCCTCAGCAGCGCTCTGTCTTCTGACTGTTAAACGCCTCACCGCCTCCACTACCTGGTCCAACCAGGCTGGCGGTGTCACCATGGTACTCGCAGTGAGATGGTGGATTTAAATGCATAATAAATAGGATGGGGGGCAAAAACAACAACATAAAAAATCATATATATTTTTTCCTCACTTTATCAGATTAAAGAAATAAGCCTGGCGGTGTTTGGTGCAGCGCGAGGCTTTCCCTGCGGTGTCAGACTGTCAAGAAATGAAATAAATAAATAACAAAAGCAAAAACATGCGTCCTTTCGAGGATGTCACCTGTCTGGAAGTTTGTGGAAATGTCAGCAGCTTCAAACGGACTTCGAGCTGAGAGTTTATTTCTACTGGCTGTAAACTGCAGACTAAACAGGATTGATTTTTAATCCACAGTTTAAACAGAACGCTGTGCGATTCTGGATCGCTGTGTGTTGTTATTTTTGTAAAATAAAAAAAATAGCCTAATAAAAAAGATTTAAAAAATAACTAGAAAACCATTCGATAACAAGCTGCTAAATAGATATAAAATAAAATTAAATAAATACGTGGAGATTACGAAGTAAACAATGTCGGCTGCATGTCACGAGCTGAAGTTTGTGTTCACCAACCTGACCAATCTATCACTTCCAGCGCGTGCGTAATAAACTTGGTTTCTAATTAATGAACGTGGTCTGCTGGAGTGGGCTCGCGCCACGACCATCGCTTTGAAATGCTGACGCTTGTTTTGTTTATGTCGCAGCTGAGTAATCACGCGCGAGCCGCTCATGGGTGCCACGCGCGCTCAACATACCTTCACTTTTCTTTTTCTGTTTTTTTTTTTTCCCTCTGCGCTTATTGATTCCCACACTTGCTGAGCTCACCTGCGTTCCTGAGCTTCTTGTTTCGATACACGGAGAAGATGACCAGCAGGTTCCCCAGGATGTCGACCACGATGGTGAAGATGAGAAAGCAGCCCAAAGTTGTGGTGACCCACGGCGGGCGGCTCAACGCGGCGTCACTGGGGTCCTGAGCGGAGCTGTTCAGGTGAGACCCATTTATGACCATTGTAATAAACAGCTGCAAAACTTTTTTCCCCCAACTGAACCAAATTCACATCTTCCGTGGATACTCCGCGAGTCCTACACAGTGGACACCGGTGGTTTCATACAATAACCTCCCGTGGGTGTCATGTTCATCTTCTCCACGAGCGCCTCTTTTTCCGCTCTCTCTCCTCCTCCCCCGCCCCTTGTGAAGGCTTTACCCAGCTGCCGAGGATCAGCTCTGGTGTGGCTCTCCGTTCTCTCTGCTCCCTCGGAGTCACTCCCGCGCCCGCGCGCCATTCACTCTGTCGGTACGCATGTGTGACATGGAGCCGCCACTTCAAACCTTCCCAGCATGTGATCAAACAATCCAAAGTGGAGAGCGATCCCAACACGGAGAGGGAAGAAACGCCGCCTCCTGGTGGCTGCGATGTGGAAAAGCAGCCCGTGTCCTACTTCCTTCCATTTCTCCGCGTGCGGGTTCATTCATGGCTCTGTGGTTTCACGCTCGCATTTTCTCTCTCTCTCTGTCTCTCTCTCGCCACAATCCCATTCATTATTACTTTTAAAGAATCATTCATGTCCGATCTCTTTCTGCAAAATAAAATAATAAAAAAGTAAAATAAAGTAAACAATAATAATAAAAAAACTGTCTTTCAATTTTTATTTTACTTATAATTATTACCCTACGTTTTTAAAATGTATTTTCCAAAAATAATCAGACTTTTGGCTCAGACTTTGCTTCACTAAGGTAAAATTATGAAATGCATGAAACCTCACGTGTTCTGCCGTTTGGGAAACTCAGACATTAAATCGACGGTTTATTTCTGTGAATTTTGATTATTGCGTAGACCTAATTAAACCCAGGGATGTTTAACAAAGATATGTTACACTGTGGCCCACACAATCATGTTCAAGACTGCTGTCTTCACAATCACCCAGAGGACAGTCAATGACGTCCTCCACTGGCAGCAAATCCCCAAAAAGTCATTTATGTCAAAGCTGGCTTCTTATTGGCTCTTGGAAAATGAAGCAAAAAGGAAAAAAGGCAGACAACTAAGTAGAAAAAGGCAATGTTAAGAGATTTTTCTCAGACATTTGCTGCAACTGTTAATCAACGCCTGAATCAGTCTACATCAGAAGCAACCTGAATGAAAACGCTCTTTGCAGTTCATTCATAAACCCAAAGTCCCAGAGTGTAGATGTTGAGGCTCAGAAGTCCAGTGTGACTGAGATGATTTAGAGAGTCGTGTTGTCTGCTGGTGTCGGTCCAGTCTTCCTTCTCAAGATCACTTCCTGCTTCCTGCTGCTGATGGGCTTTATGGAGAAGTCACTTTCATTTTCCAAGCAGGGCATGTCACCTGCTCATGCTGCCAAAAGTTCTGCTTTAGTGACCGGAGCAACACTGTGCACCCCACAGAGACAGCAAGGAGGAGACACCAGGACTGCAACCTGGGCTTTCTTAACTCCTCAGACACGTCACACTATTCTGTAAGAGTTTTCTTTATTTTTTTACACTTTGCACTAAAATAAGTTTTTGTTTTGTCTTTTTTAATATTTAAATAAAAGAAAAATAGTTGTAAGCATTCATGTCACAAATAACAAAAATACTTCAGATTTACCACTTTGAGAGCAATGAATTTATGTAGAATGAATTTTATTTTAAACTGAAGTGAAATAATGTGATGATATTCCAGTCTAACAAGCAATTTCTACACCATCTTTAAATCTTTTAATCTGAACAAATCCTAATCCAGTGCTTCATTCATTAGTGCAGATGAAAGGGCAAGACAAAAAATAGCATATTTGTAATAACTGGAAACTGTTATTATTCCTCCTTACAGAATAATAACACAATCGAAGATGCTTAAAAGCAAAACTCCACACATCAATGTTTATCATATTTCTATTCATGCAGGCACATCTCTAATGGACAAGAGTCTCACTCTTCAAGAGGAAAATGCTTAAAGCACACAAATAATATCTGCTTTATTCATCAAATAAACTATATATTTATATATTTTATTTATTTATTTTTTCATTGTTTGAAGAATTCAAGACAGTTCTTATATACTTGTCAAAATGGAAACATTCATACATAGTTATTGTTTCAGTGATAATTTAGCTGCCAAAAAAATAAAAGTAAAATAAAAATTGGGGCAGTGTTACTGTCAACCAGTCGTCCATATTAATAAGTGGCACAAATTTTAATTCACTAATTTTTGTTAACAGAGCTCATTTTTAAACCTCATCCCAAGCTGTGGGTCATATTTGAACTGTTACTGGTCTGGAAGCAGATCTGGATTCCCAGGGTTTGTCAGCAGTTATCCTCTCCTGACTAGCCATCTTGTTTTAAAATTGAAAAAAAAAGCTTTTTGTTCTCTATAGTTTTGTGTTCCGTGTTATGATGTGTTGCAAATGCTTATAGTGCATGCCACCCATCATCAACAGCACTACATCAATAAAGGGACTGAATGGAGTCTTTGTGGGTCTCCTCACTAACCAACAATCTTCTTTCAGACATCGTCATAAAAATTTTCTTAAAAAATTAAAGAATTGTATTTTTGAGAACAGTCCAATAATTGGGACCAAATACCAGGAACATCCCAGAACTGTAAGGCAGAAAGAATCATTTCTTCTGCTTTCTGAACTCTCCCACTTCAACAGATCATTATTCTAACATATCTGTGAATTGGAAAATTAACCATTTTGTTGCTAAGTCATATTGCAGTGTAACATTTTAACTGAACATATTCTTTCAAACAGCAGGTTTCCTTGCAGCCCAGTGAAAATCCCTACTTTATATGAAGAGAAGCAGAAAGCGACAGAGGCACTGCTTTGAATAATTACGCTGCAGGAATTATTTGAAGTTACGCAACAGAATGATTACGTTGTGCAGTCGCGCCAGAGATAGAATATGGTGAAAATCTAATATTTGTATGTCAGTTTGCTGATTTTACACAAAAAAAGTCAAAGTATCAGCAGGAAAAGTGGGACATTCTGAGCTTCTTTATTGGAGCAACATTTATTCTAAATTAGCTGCAGTTCAGAGATGCAGTTTATTAATTTAATACTCCATTTTGTTGGAAGGTAATAAAGTACAATGAAATGTTACTAGATGGAATTAGATTTCTAGTTATTTCTCTGTGTAATTCTCTGGTTGCCATGTGCGCTAAATATAGATGCAAATACACTGCAGGTCTTTTCATGATTTTCTTCAACTATTTCTCGAGATTCCATTGATCATACAGCAAAAGAAATATTAAAAGAAAATATTTTTGGTGCTTAAGTTTAAATGAATTGCTGGTTTTCTTTACTCCTTTGAGTTAAATCCATTGTGAAACTGGCTTCATTTTCAACATGTATTTGTGGTCCAGCAGTTTTCTTTTTCTTTTGTTCTTTCAGCTGAAACTTGGACACCTTTGATCCTTCACTGTAAAAACACAAAATCTTTGGTCTAATTTTTTGTCTAGTCATAATAAAAATATTACATTTGAATTAGGACAAAACTGACTTAAAAGTAACTTTTCAGCAAAACGTAGGAGATTGTTTCAAGTAACTAATTTCCTAACATTGATGAGAAACTGCATTGGAAAATTATTTTACTTATAACATGTGAGTTTCTTGTAAGTAAAATAATCTGAACTACAACTTTGTCATCAATATTGATTAATTATTAGCTTAAAATAAGCTCCTATATCTTGGTTAAAAGTTACTTACAAGTTACTTATAAGTAAGTAACTTACTTTCAGGTGTACTAAGATTTATGCACTACAAACTAGAACAAAACTACTTGGTAAGCTTTTTGTGTTTCTGCAGCGTTCCAGAAGGATAATGATCTCTAATACAAATTGAAAACGATTTTGAAATGAAAAGTGTCGTGGAATTTGAAACTTCTGGAATGGCATGGCCTGAAGCCCAAACACAACACTTAACATTTGTTGACTGAGCTTAAACGTTTTGTCTCTTCCATGAATGAATAAAACAATTAAATTACTTCTATCAGTTCTGCCAAGAATTTTTGAATTTTATGGCTTTATGAGTCATCAATAAAGTCTTTAAAAAAAACAAAGTGCTATGGTGGTATATCAAAACAAAAAGGAAATAAAATGAGAATAATAAAACAAGACAAAAAATAAAGTACAATGTTGATGTAATTAGTAATGAAGTCATAAACAAATACGTTGAGTGTCTCGCTAAGGACATTTAGTCTAAATCTGTCTGTATGATCTTTACCCTGTTTGAACTAAAGAACAGTCAACACAAATATCTCTTAAAAACCAATGTGAAAATCTTTCCACTCTTTTAGTGGTTGTCAAACTAAGAAAAAAAAAAGAAAAAGAAAGGCTTTCTGCAAGAATAATCCTGTACAATATAAAAGTGACAATAAAGTGAGAATAAAGTCATAATATTGTGACTTCGTTTTTGTAAAACCAGTTTATTTTTGTGTCATTTCAACTTCATTCTGATGAATTTATTCTCATGATGACTTGTCTTGTAATATTTTGACTGTTTTTGAGATTTTATGACTATAGTCTGATAAAGTATAGTCAAATAAAAATATTATTTTCTTAGCATGGTCGTGGTTTGCACATGGGTGTATGAATGTGTTTGTAAATGCACCTGCGTTCATGTGGCTCTGAGTATTCAGTGTGACTAGAACGGCTCTATAGAAATTGAGGCTCTTTAAAACTCTACATTCATTTTGCCTGCTCCACTGGAGCCATTTCCTAGCAGAGGCAGCTCCGGAGTTAAGGAGGAAAATGAGAAATAATTCCTTATGCAAGTTTTCTCTATATATTTAGTTTTTGCAAGATGACTCATCATATTCGGTTCTCTATCCATTTCTACCAACGTTTCTTTTATCCTTGCCTTTTTTCCATCTGGATGCCCGTATTGCTCCAACCACATAAACCAGATATATCTTTTTATTTAAAATAAAAAGTTATTTTCTTTTACAATAATCTGACAGGAAGGTGGCAGAGAGAAGGGAGGAAAGGAATGCGGCAGAGGTGTATGTTACTAATCTATAACATATAGATAAATCTTTGAAGAATTCTGAATTAATATGAGTTACATCAACATTTAATTTCCCTTTGGGATCAACAAATCACTTTGAAAAATGCAATTCAATTGAATTTTCTGTAGCCGCTGAGCGCTGCAGAACAGGACCAGACGTTTCCTCACATTTATGGAAAACCTGCAGCTTCATGGTGCAGCAACATCAATATGAGCATCAATAGGATGAGCTGCACATATTTATGCATCCAACACCATAACTTCAGCAATCAATCATATTTGAGCTGTCTATTGGATTTGCCACACAGGTGAGGCTGAACATTACAGGCAGCTGATAGGCTGGGCTCCAGGCTCTTAACTCAACCCCCTGCCTGACAAAATCCAGTGACTTTTGACCTTATTCATACTTCTGATGTCAAAACTAATTGAGCCTTTCCCAGGAGAAGGAGAGTTAGCAGAAAAAGAGGACAGAGAGGAGCAGG